TTTTTTTTTTTTTTTTGTTGCCTGGTATATACAAGGCCCTATAGGTCTGACCACTTTTTTTTGAGGATTCTGGTCTGGCTTCCAGCCCCTACCCCACTACATTTCTGACCCTCCCACCACCCCCACCACCCCACGGCCATCGTCGTGGTAGTGATGTTCAGGTGATGTTGGCCCAGCTGCTGCCCTGCCAGCTCCTTTCATCTCGGCCTGTGCGCAAAGCAAGCTCAAAGGTCTCAGGACTTGCAAACACTTCCCGGACTCCTCGGGAGAGTCAGCTCCTTCTTCCCACTGAGCCTCAGGGGCTATCATCTGCAGAGCCTGCCTGGGCCCTCACTGTGTTTGTTGACCCTCTGTCAGGCCACCTCTTGGGAGATCAGAACTGTAGTATGTAGTCACTGTGGACCGAAGTGACAGAATACGTGTCATCTCCCTTTACGCCCTGACGCCGTTTCATTCATTTTTGTTTGTTGTTTCTCAAAATGGGCCTCTCTATGTGGTCCAGGCTGCCTTAGAACTCATGATATTTCTGCCTCAACTATGGAATACTGGGATTACGGGGGTCATTTTGTTTTGTTTTTGGCTGTGAGTGAGGTGCTTGCAATCCAGCACCTGAGAGACAGAGGAAAGACAGTTCAGGAGTTCAAAGCCAGATTAGGCAATGACCAGCCTTCTCCTCTCCACGTCCCCCTCCACCTCTGATATCACTATAAGAGGATATCACCTCTGATATCCTCCTGAGTGCTGGAGCTTTTGTTGCTGTTATTTGGGGGTGGGAGTCTCACATAGCCCAGGCTAAATCAGAAATCCCTGTGTAGACAAGGCTGACCTTGAACTCCTGACCCTCTTGCCTTTAAACTCCTAAGTGTGGGAATCACAGGCATTCGTCACCAGACCCCATTTTATAGAACGCTGGGGACGGAACCCAGGGCTTTATGGGTGTTAACAGTGTACCAACCAAGAGACATGCCAGCCCGAGGCTGTCCTAGAACTCAGTAGAGCAGGCTGTCCTCAAACTCAGAGATCCACCTGCCTTTGTCTCTCCCAAGATAACTGTTACTCTGGATTCAGAGGATCTGACTCCTGTGCTGGCCTCCCTGGGCACCGTACAGAAAAAACACCTGTATGCAGAAGATAAACATAAATTATTTACGGTTGCTAATGTAGCTAGGCAGAGCTCACCTGACCCCACCATCCCTGGGCGCATTAGATAGTTAACTGATTGCTGAGGGCTGGAGAGAGACATTTTCTTCCTGTAGCCACTAATGTAGTCCATGCCATAAATAGCCCCACACCATAAATAGCTTCTGTAAGGAACCTTAAACCCTGTCTCATACACGCACAGTTACTGTGTAAGCTGACTTAATTGCGTTTGTGTGTGACGTGTGCAGGTGTGTACATGCGTACATGGCACGTGCTCCTACACGTGAATGTCTGTGTGTGCGTGTCCTCTTGCCTTCCACCAGGTGAGGCCCAGCAACTGAGCTCAGGTGTCAGGCTTGGTAGCAAGTACGTTTACCCACTAACCTCTCTTTTCAGCCTTGTGAACTAACTTTAAAAATAAATAGGCCCCAGGGTGGTGTCACAGGTCCTCGATCCCAGCGCCGGAGCCAGAGGCAGGAGTATCTCTGTGAGTTCAAGGCCAGCCTGGTCTACAAGTGACACCCAGTCAACAACAAAAACAACTTAAAACTGTAAAGCTTTGTTTTTGTTTTTTCTGTTTTTTGTTTGTTTGGTTTGTTTGTGCCAGGACTTCCTCCTCTCATAAAAAACTGGAGGAGGCTAGCTGGGATAGCTGCGAACTTGTCTTTGAAAAATTTTAAATGAGCATACAAATTCAAGACACGGGTTTTTGTTTGTTGAGTTTTCAAGACCTGGGTCTCTCTGTGCAGCTCCAGTTCCCCTGGACCTCTCTCTGTAGACGAGGCTGGCCTCTGCCTCCCCAGTGCTGGCATTAAAGGCGTGCGCCACCATCTGTCAGCTACAGTTTTAGTTTGATTTGCTCCCCCCCTCCCCCGGGCCGGACCTCAAACCCAAGGAAGGTCTCAGCTTTTCCTGGAGAGCACTTGATGGCTGAGAGACTCTCCCAGCTGCACCTAATTACCTGTAACAGCAATTTCCTGTTCCGTTCAATAATTTACCCAGCCGACCCCCCCACCCTACTGATCTGGATTGTGTATTGCGGTGTTTTCAGGCTTTCTTCTTTCTGTTTTTGTTTTTGTTTTGTTGTTGTTGTTGTTTGTTGTTTGTTTTTTTTTTTTGGAACAGCCTCTCAGTTTGTAGCCTCGACTGGCCTGGAAAACCCTGAGGGGACCAAATCGATCTCAAACTTCAGCCATCCTCCTGCCTAGGCTTCCTGAGCTGCTAGGATCACAGGTGTATGTGTTTGTGCCACCTTGACCCCCAGCACAGTGGCCAGTGCTCTTCCCGTTATTCATCTTCTCTTGGTACCTAGGAAGCCTTGAGAAATATGTCACTGTGCAGAACACGGGTCCTGGTCTAGAATATTAACTGTGGTCCTTCCTTCCTTCTTTATTTTCTTCTCCCATCCTTCCCTCCCTCTTTCTCTTTCTTTCTTTCTTTATTTTTTTTTTTTGAGACAGGGTTTCTCTGTGTGGTCTCTGTGTATTCTGGAACTGACTCTGTAGACAAGGCTGGGCTTGAACTCAGAGATTCAACTGCCCTTGTCTCCTGAGTGCTGGGATCAAAGGTGTGCACCACCATGCTCAGCAGCTCCTTTTTTTTTTTTTTTTTTTTTTTGGACAGGGCCTCACTAATTTATTTTATTATTTTACTTTACTATATCTCACTATATAGTCCTAGCTGTCCTGTAACTCATTATATAGACCAGGCTGGCCTTGAACTCACAGAGAACCTCCTGCTTCTCCTGAGTGCTGGAGTTAAAGGCAAGAGCCACCAGGCTGGCATTTATTTTATTATTTT